TCTACAGACAGACTAAAAATAGTAATACCCCTCAACTGGGGAAATGTGGGAGGGAGCTGGGCACTAATCGTAATGAAATGAGAGTGATTCTTTCTTTAGTCTTCTTTCTCCCTCTTTTCTTCCGTGGCCTCCTGTTTGCACCCGGGTCTCACCCACTCCCTCTGTCCACTCATTCATTTAACATGTGAGTACTGAGCTGACACAGGGCCAGACTCAGAGATGCCTAAGCCTGGGTCCTGGCCCTCCAGGAACCTCCGCCTGGCAGAGGACACAGACTTGTGAACACTGCAGTGGCACAAAAGGGACTCCCAGTCCAGAGAGCGGGCATTTGCCCAGCTGGCCTTTGCTCCCAGCTTCTTCCTTGGTCTCAGTACTGGGCTCAGCACAGAGCTCCCATGGCAGAAAAATGGGGAAGGGTGATAGGAGACGCTGGCCTGGGGAATTATCCTGCACGACCCCCATCTGGGTGTGAGCACAGGCAGCAACTGAAGATTCTTATTTTAAAATAAAGGAGCTCTAGATGACAGGTGTAAATAATTTTAGTAAGAAATAGTGACAATGCGTTTTCATAACAAGTCATCATGGAGTCGTTCTTCATGTATCTGACACGGTCAGGGAGGGAAGAATTTTCCATGTGGGGATTTTCTGGCTGACTGATTTTTACCACTGATTTCAGCAATTGTGGATCAGAATCGTTCCCAGATGAATCACACACCTCCTTGTCTCCTCAAACAAAACACCAGCTGACATTCTGCGGGCCCAAAGGACACAGCGCATCCATCAGACCCTCCATTCACAGGTGGGCTTTAACCTTTTCCCGAGGACTCAGGGTCAGACCCTCTGTGAGTCCTTCTCATGGTGCTGGACTGGAACACAGTGAAGCCCCCGGGTGCCCAGATAATGTCAGAACCACTTGGATCAGAGGCGGGCCTCTGCAGCTCTCTGATTTCAGCCCTGGAGGACCTACTGACCCTCAGCCTAGACTCAGGAAAGGAGGCACACACACTCATGCCCCATGAACAGCCCAGCCTCTCCTTCCCTCTCAGATCCCCAGGGCTTGGTGCCACAGAGGGGCAACTGCTGTAGAATAGGCAGGGCATGCAAAGTCCAGCTCAGCCAGGAGCCCCAGCTAGGATGGCTGCTCACCCCAGGAGCCCAGCCCCTGGGGACAGAGAGAGTGCCCCGAGGCAGAGATGAGAACCAAAGCCAAATGTGGAGAGGCCCAAATACCACCAATGGGAGTCCATAACAGGGACAAGGGATGGCAAGTGGAATCAACGGAAGGTGACTGTCTCTCATGTTCCTCTCTAAAGAGAGTGCAGTCAGACCTTGGGGACATATGAGGTTGTCCATCACACTGAACAGTGTTTGTGTTTTGAGCTCAAAACAATGGCCCTGGGTAATTTCTAATCTAGCCCTAAATGGAAGCTGTGACAGGGGCTGTTGTGGGCTGAACTGTGTCTCCCCAAAATTCATATGCTGAGGTCCTAAGCACCAGGACCATAGAATGAAACCGTATTTGGAGATAGGGCCTTTTTTTGTTTGTTTATTTTTTAGATGGAGTCTTGCTCTGTCACCTAGGCTGGAGTGCAATGGCACAATCTCGGCTCACTGCAACCTCCGCTTCCTGGGTTCAAGCAATTCTCCTGCCTCAGCCTCCCAAGTAGCTGGGATTACAGGTGCGTGCAATCATGCCCAGTTAATTTTTGTATTTTTAGTAGAGATGGGGTTTCACCATGTTGGTCAGGCTGGTCTCAAACTCCCGACCTCAGGTGATCCACCCGCCTCAGCCTCCCAAAGTGCTGGGATTACAGGCATGGGCTACTGTGGGGATAGGGCTTTTAAAGAGGTAATGAAGTTAAAATGAGGCCATTAGCGTGAGCCCTGATCCAATATGACCGATTCCCTTACAAAGAGAGATTAGGGCACAGGCAAGACTCAGACCGGGGGCAACCATATAGGGACGCAGCGAGAAGAAGGCCATTGGCAAGCCAAGCAAAGAGGCCTCAGAAGAAGCCAATCCTGCAGTATCTTCATCTCAGACCCCTGGCCTCCAGAATTGTGGAAGAATTAAGTTTTGTGTACCTTGTTACAGCAAACTGATATAGGACCTAACACCAGCATACAGAAAATACACACGTAGAGGGATGGGAAGTTCCCCAGAAGGATGACCCATTCACAGGATTTCTTAAATCTTCCTGTCCAGACCTTGAAGTAACCATGAAGAAACTATACATTTTATAATTTAAAGAAATTAGTCAGCTGGGCGTGGTGGCTCACACCTGTAATCCCAACACTTTGGGAGGCCAAGGCGGGTGGATCATGAGGTCAGGAGTTCAAGACCAGCCTGACCAAGATGGTGAAACCCCAAATTTACTAAAAATATAAAAATTAGCCTGGCACGGTGGCAGGCACCTGTAATCTCAGCTACTCGGGAGGCTGAGGCAGGAGAATTGCTTGAACCCGGGTGACAGAGGTTGCAGTGAGCCAAGATTGCGCCACTGCATTCCAGCCTGGGGGACAGAGTGAGACTCTGTCTCAAAAAAAAAAAAAAAAGAAAAGAAAAAAGAAAAGAAAAGAAATGAGTCATTTATTCTCTGAAATCTTGAAAGTGTGCTCTCAACCACAGTGCTCTGGATTTGCACAGTAAAACACGGAAGGGTCTGAAAGCTTTGAATTCTGAGAAGACAGACTCTCTGCTACCAGCTTCTGAACTTGGCTCCGACAGCCATTTTTGCCACTAAATCAAAACTCCTTGGAGGCATGTTTAAAATATCAACCAGCTCACATGCCCCAGGCCCTGCTTAAAACCTTTCCTGTGGCTCTCGTGGCCCTTGGATAAAGGTAAAACCCAAACCTGAGTTTGTACCATGAAGCTCCACATGGTCTGGCCCTACCTGACCCTCTAGCAATGCAGCTTCTGTGTCTTCCCCTCACGCCGGCATTCGAGCTGCCTCATCCTTCAGAGTCCAGGACACAGTCGGCTCCTTCCTGGCACAGGGCCTTTGTACAAACTGTTCCCTCCACCTGGAGCCCTCCTGGCCTAGTTAGCTCCTGTCACCCTTCAGACTGGAGCTCCAGTGTCCCTTCCTCAGGGAACCGTTGCCTGACAACCTCCCCCTAGCCCCAGCCTGGGTCGGGTTCCCGGTCACTACCCTGGCTTCTTGTGGTAACTGGTTATTTAATGTCTGTCCCCCTCAGTGGCTGTGAGTTCCACAAGGGCGGGCACCACAGTGGTATGTGTTCAGCCCAGGGCTCAGTGAAACTGATGAGTAGCGTCTGTATCCCACCTTCTCTAGAGAGGGTACAGAGACCGTGGGTTAGGACAGGGGCCATAAACAATGCAGCTAATCCCAGCTGGATGCTGGTCTCACCCTTGGAGCTTTCCAGGAACTGCTGAGCTATGGAGTCTGTGCATGACAGCCCAGAAAAGCTGCTGCTACTAGTTCCAAAAAGGAAAGGAAGGAAGGAAAGAGAGAGATGGGTGCTGACATTTATTGAACACCTATGATGTGCGCTACTGAGCATGCAGGCTGCTGGGCTATCTACTTTCTTTTTTTATTTTATTTATTTATTTGTTTATTTATTTTGAAAAGGAGTCTCACTCTGTTGCTCAAGCTGGAGGGCAGTGACGTGATCTCGGCTCACTGCAAGCTCCACCTCCCGGGTTCACACTATTCTCCTGCCTCAGCCTCCAGAGTAGCTGGGACTACAGGCGCCCGCCACCACACCCGGCTAACTTTTTGTATTTTTTTAGTGGAGACGGGGTTTCACCATGTTAGCCAGGATGGTCTCGATCTCCTGACCTCGTGATCCTGGGCTATCTACTTTGACATGCCTTATTTCAGCTAGTCTATAGCAACCCTTAAAGGGTAGGTAATAGTGTCCCCATTTTCATAGGTAAGGAAAGGCTCAGAGAAGTTAAGACACTTGCAGAAAGATTGAGATCTGCTAAGGCCCAGAGTCAGCTTTAGATCTCAGGTCGGCCCACCCCAAGACCCATGCTCTCCCCCTGATGCACACTAGCTGGAATCATGTCAGATGGGTAAAGGAACAACGGTCCCTACCTGAGGGCCAGGGACCCCAGATGCCCTGGGGGTTATGTCAGGGGCCCGTGAGTCCATCTGAGCACCCAACATTGCCTGCCTCTGAATAAACTATATTTTTTCCACATCCAAATATAACTGTTTCCAAATAAATACAGATTCTGTCATGACTAATATAGTACCAATTCCTCTAAATGGGTTTGCTGAATTCATGGCAGTTCTGTGAAAGGCGGAAACCCAGGTGGGCACATGCATGCTAAAATGTTCAGCATGTAATGTGTTTTCCCTCCTGTGGGTTGAAGAGTCATAGGTGATGTACTGTTAAGCGGGGAGTGGGGAGCATAGCTCTTTTACCATTTATGCAAAAAAAAAAAAAACTTTTTAAATCTCCATACACAGATTCTTACTCATGCATTGATTCTGCAAGGATACCCAAAGCCACATCGTCACCCCTGGGGAGAACTCGGTGGCTCTTCATTGAATAACCATCTGTACCGCACAAATTTTGTATCATTTAAATAATTTAAAAATCAAAACTTTTAATAAAATTAAAACCATCAAAGGTGATAGCAAGAGGGCAACGCTTAACCCTGCGGTGCAACATACTGAATTTCAGGCAAGAAAGTCCTGTGCCCTCTTCAGTTTCTACACAAGAGGAGCCAGCGATGATAATCAAAGAGACGGTAATTGAGGCGGGGACTTTAACACCGAGTCACCAGAGGTGACCTTGCAAACTTGGCCTTTTGTCATAAAACAGGCACAATCATCACTGTGTTCCAGCCCTCCAGGGCTTTCCAAATGCCAGTGGCTCTGGGGAAGGAGACCTACTTTACGCTCTATAGGAACCTACCACGTGTTTCCTGTTTCTTTCCATGCTTGCCCCCCCTCACCCACCCCTAACCCCTGCCCCACCTCCACATGCTCCCTGCACCCACCACAAATGGCCACACTCACATGGACAGCACCTTCACTTCCAATATTTCGTGCCTCAGCTCCAGGCATCTTGTGGAGTTATATTCAAAAGGCCCCTCGTAAAATTCAAAGTACCTGGGGACCAACAGAGACAGGTTAAACAGAGAAGCAGGTCAGGATGTCCAGGGCCTGCAGGAGCTCTTGTTGCAGGGTGGAGTGTCTGTCCCAGTGAAATAAATAAAGCCAACCAGCCCCATCCCAGCAGATGACCCATTAGGGGCTTCAGGCAGACCACGGGGCCCTCTGGCTTGATCACTGGGTGGTCAGTTACTCTCAGCGCCCCACTCCCCTGGGAGTGTAAGCATTTACAGAAGCATAAACCGATTTCAGCAAACAGGGAAGTTCAGAAACAGGTTTGGTTCCAAGTTTGTGGCTGGGAAGGAGGGGGGAGGAAGAGGGATGCTGTGTATACTGTGATCAGAGAAAGCAGAGAGACCAGAGTCATTCTGGCACAGCACTGGGAGTCCGACAGTGAGCCTTCAGGCCTCCAGCTTGCCCTTCCATTCCCTGCCCCTTGCCCACTTGATCCTCGTGCCCATACTGTGACATAACTGAGACTGATGTGCCTTTCTCCCCATTTGGCAGCTGAGAATACTGAGGCTAATCAGACAGAGCTCCAGGTCACACTCTCCATATAGGGCAGGACCAGGGCTTGGTCTAGGTCTACCTGCAGAAGAGACCAAGCCCCTTCCAGCACCAGCTGGCTCCAGGCATGTCACAGCCACCTCAGGGTCCCTCTGCCAGCTTCATGCAGAATATCAATGCCAATTTCAGCCAACACTTACTAAGCCCTTACTATAGGCTAAGCGCCAGGCCAAGTATTTGATGTGGATGGATGCATTCACTTTTAATCTTTCTAATCAGCCTATGAGGAAAGTGACACAAGCATCCTGAATAGGCTCTGGGAATTAACTAAGGTGCCAGACCCTCGGAGCTGGAAGGTGGCAGAGCCAAGATGGGAACCTGCATGCTGACTCAAGGCTGCTCTTTCTGCCACTTGGCTATGAGCATGGCTGGTGTCCCCTGGAAAGGGCCCTCTGGCCTCCTGTGGCAGAGGCCCAGTGAGCTCTCTCCTCATGGCCCCGCTCTTCCTGGCGGTTGTTCAGAGGCAGGGGTGGATGGAACTGGGAGGGTTGGATCCCAGGACAGCTTTAACATCATGAATCCAGAAGCCTGCAGGGCCAAACCACTGTAAATATGGGATCAGTGGCCTTGCAACAGGTAGTCTGCAAGAATCAGACGTGAGAGGGGCTCCCCAGGGCCAAGCACTGGAAATCAGGCATCACTCAAGCATCTCCCAGAAACCACTACACGCAGCAGTGGTCATTTCCCACATACCCTTACACACTGGACAAACTTATGTATGTGCTGCTTTAGAAATGCTGAAACATTTTACCCAATATATTGGTTTCTTTTACAAATATTGGTAGTTTTATTATTATCATTGCATTTGTATTGTCATTTTGTCATTAAAATAATACTGATACTTTAAAAGTTATATTTATAAATATTTGTCCTTAATAATTTAAATATAATTTAATAGTTTTAAGTACTATAATTACATATTTAAATAATTTTACATAATATTTTAAGATATTAAAATATTTTCCACAACAAATTGGTCCCTATTTACAAAATAAATTGGCTCTTTGTTCTCATGTTATAAAAGAATTCAGGCCAAGTTAATAAGAAGTAGGTACCGAAGATCCCCAAAATGTCAAACACCTTTGTGTCTTACAACTCCTTTTCTGTCTTTCTCATCTGGCAAACTCAAATGGATTTTTCAGTACCCGGCTCGAGTAACCACGCTGCTGGGAAGCCTCCTCTGATCCTGACCCTGGACTCCCCCTGCTCACTGTCTCTTAGTTAGAGCAAATAACATTGTATTGGGTTGGTGCAAAAGCAATTGCAGTTTTTGCCTTTTTTTTTTTTTAATGTAATGGCAAAAACCGCAATTACTTTTGCACCTACGTAATAGTACAATTGTGTGTTTATGTAATTGCATTTCTTTCCAAACCACGAGCATCTCAAACACAGAGACAGTGTCTTTGTTATCTCTAGATCTTCTGTACTACAGAGGCAGGAAAGCTAAAAATGACATTTCCCAGACTCCTTTGCAGGCAGGGTCCTGGATGCAATTTAGGTTCAGCCAGTTAGAAGCATTTGCATGAGACGGATTCAGACCTGTTATAGGGGAAGAATGGCAAGGCTCAAGGCACGGTTTTGCTGGTGCAGAATGTGGCAGAGGTGTCATGGCTCTTGGAAACTGCGGTAGTGGTAACACCTTCATGATTATATCAGAGGCAGCAGCTTTCACGGTGGCCCCATTTCACTGCAGTTTGGGGAGGAATTCCTGGGAGTTCAATCATTTCTTCAGCTTTCCCCATGAATCTGAGCTAGCTGTGCCCTTAATAAATCCTTTTCTGTTTTAACTAGCTAATGTAGATTCTGTTATCTGCAAATAAGAACAAGGGGTCAGCCTGGGGCCACAAAACAAGCCCATGACCTTGGCTCTGACTCACCTAATTTTCCAGTCACACAACAGTAAGCTCTGGTGTCCTATCACAAAGATCGCTGTTTGCAACCTGAGCCGGTGTAACTAAGCCCTTTGGAATCCACTGAGTCAGGTAAAGCCGTGGTCCTAGGTTGTTGATAAGAAAAGGTCCAGATTCAAATGATGCAGGAAATCATTAGGTTGAGACTTATCCTAGAGTTCTTGGGAAATTGGAGACTTGCGGACACATCTCAGATACGGCTATAAACCAGCTGTGTGACTTTGGGTAAAACACTTCCCCTCTCTGCATCTCTTTGTTGTCCTCTTTAAAACAATCTGTTTGAACTAGGGTAGCATCTTCTCTTCAATCAGCCAGCCCTACCATTTCCTTGACAAAGCCATTCCTGCCTTGCCTCTTCCTTGGTTCCTCTTTCTCCTGCATCCTCAACATCACTCATATACCCAACTAGGCAGCACCATGATTCCAAATGACCTTGTGCTGTGGGCCTGGTGATACTTAGAGAGGCTTTCAGAACTGGGTTCACACCCCTCCACCCCTCATTGGCCTCTGTATGGTCTGAATGTTTGTGTCGCCCCCACGGTTCATATGCTGAGATCCTAACCTGCAAGGTAATGGTATTAGGAGGTGAGGCCTCTGGGAGGTACTGCAGGCACAGCCCTCATGAATGGGATTATTGCCCTTATAAAAGAGGCCCAAGAGAGACGCCTCTTCCCTTTTACTATGTAAGGATACAGCAAGGAGATGCTGTTGATGAACCAGGAAGTGGGTCCTCACCTGAAACTTAATCTGCCTTGATCTTGGACTTCTCAGCCTCCAGAACTGTGAGCAATACATTTCTGTTGTTTATAAGCTAAGTCACTTAGTCTATGGTATTCTGACAGCCACATTAGGTCTGGCACTTTTCTGCTCCTTTGTTTTCTCATCTGCAAATCAGCAAAAACAATGCAGTGCATGTGCGACAGGGCTGAGAAAAAAACACTGATGAGCATTTCATGGAAACCACTAGCACACAGGAACTACCCCAAAAATGCTCATTCCCCTCTGTCCCCTTTGTCCCGCCACTAAAGAGCACGTGATACCAGTGGATGCCACAGGGAGTCAGAGACAGTCTCTGACCATAAGCTGGTTGATGGCAGGGCTGAGTCAGGGATGAACAACTCGAAGCTTCTCACTGTGTGCACTGGTGACATTCTCCTTCTGCTGTGATTAGTAAACCTCTCCCCTGCCACCCTGTGGATAAAGCCCACACTAAGTCCTGCTTGGACACAGACCTGCTTGATCACCTCATCTCTGCTGGAGGCTCCACTCATTAACCATGTGCTTCTGATGCTTTGACACCTGGGGCCTTGCTGACCTTGGAGGGACTGCCTCTTCTAGGGCTAGCCAATTCCTGGAGAGAGTGAAGGACTAGCCTGTGAGTACACCTTTCATTTGCAAACCAATCCAGATCCCATGCCCCTATCAGGCTCCCATATTCTTGGACACTGGAATAGCTCCTGCCCCACTCACCCCAGAGCCAGGTCCCAGGCAACTGGGGATAGCCCCTACACCCCAGAACCCACTGAAATTACTCAGATCAACCAATCCTATACCTGCAAACCCTGCCTCACCAGTTCCTTTCCATGGAAATCCCAATGATGGTTCTTGCCCACACTTCCCCCTCTCTGCCTCTGCCTCCTTACTGATCCAGGCGCTTCTTCCCATGGTCTTGCAGGGCCTCCTGTTTCTAGGGATCTGTGAGTATCAAAACCTCTTCCTTCATGACAGTCATTTCCATATTTTTGTGTCTTACCATATCCGATTAAAACAAATCCCAGGCAGGTACCCTGAAAACACTCCATGTAGTACCTCAGCCAAGTCATCAAAACTATTCCATGCCTGAGTCTAAAGCCTCAGTTTTCCCATCTGGAAAATGTAGCTAATAGCCCTGGCTTCTTTCTCTATCCTACCTGGGTTTTGCTTTTTTGGTCCGTACTGCTCTAGCTCAGTCTCTAAAGATGATTGACTTGAGGTTGCTATGGTCTAAATGTCTGTATCCCCAATACAAACATTAAGTTTCGTGTTTAAACTTAATCCCCAATGTGATGGTATTAAGAGGCTGGGCCTTTGGGGGGTGATTAGGTTATGAGGTCTCTGACCTCAAGGATGGGATTAGGCCCTGATAAAAGAGGCTTCAAAGAGCCTTTTGCCTTTCCACCATGTGAGGATGCAGCAAGAAGCTGCCATCTATGAGGAATGGGCCCTCACCAGACACCAAATCTTCTGCCACCTTGATCTTGGACTTCCCAGCCCCCAGAACTGTGAGAAATAAATTTCTCCTGTTACAATTATAAATGACCCAGTCTAAGCTATTTTGTTATGGCAGCCCAAAAGAACTAAGATAGGAAATAAGATTTTGAGAAGCACTGCCCCATATTCTGCTTCTAACAGGATGCTCAAGGACTGCATTTTAGAGGGTGTCATGGAAATTCATGAAAATTCCCATTTGGTCTGGATACAGATATACAGACATCAAAAATGTTGCTTAAATTTTTTTGTCTAATGACATAAGAAGATGCTCACATAACAATGTTGGGTAAAAAAATGCAAGTTACAAAACTATGATCTCCAAAAAGAATTACATATACGTATGTGAATGCGTAGGCAAAGGGAAGAATTGTAACACAATATTAATAGGGATAAATCAGAATAAATGGGATGATGGGTTATTTTTTAAATACTTTTCTGTGTTTTTATAAGTTTTCTGCAATGGGGTTATGATTCTTTTATTATTGGAAATCACTAATAAATGCCTTTTTAAGTCCCAGACCTTCTTCTAAATATCTCGAGCTTCCCCTTACCCTGTTAGAAGACTGAGGGAAGCACTTTCTCCAACCTTCTTAAACTCCACTAGCCTCTCAAAGTGACTTCATCACTGTCTCTTCTTTCAATGCTAGAAAGACTATCTTTACCCGCCTCAAAGGGGAGGGGACCCTGGCATCATGTAGGGCATCTCACAGGTATAAATAGTCCCAGCGGGTCATATCAGGAGCCCAACTCCTCTCAAATGCCACTCAGCTTCCAGCAGCCAAATATGATGCTGGCGCCAGGCTGCATCTGCTCTGCCCCATCTCTCTGCCCTCCGCTAAGTGAGAAGACAAATGCAGAAGGCCAGAAAGAGGTGAACACAGTGGCCCTGGACATGAGTTCTCCTCCCTCTGCCCAGATTGGGCTGAAGCTTTGTGGGCTAAGGAGCTAAGGAGACCTCCTTTCTTTCTTTCTTTCCTTTTTTTTTCTTTTTTTTTAGACGGAGTCTCGCTCTGTCGCCCAGGCTGGAGTGCAGTGGTACAATCTCGGCTCACTGCAACCTCTGCCTCCCGGGTTCAAGCGATTCTCCTGAAGAGGCCTCCTTTCAGCATGCCCAGGGTCTGGCCCTCTGAGAGTCTGGGTCTGTAATTCCTTTGAGCCTTTCCCCAAGAGCCTGCCCCACAGAGGCTCCCCTGTTGGCCTGATTCCCTCTCCAGAGCTTCTCTAGGGCCATGGTTCCTTTCTTGGGGCCCAAAGTACTCTAGGTCCCAGAAACCACTGGTTGCTACAAGATGAGGTCCATGCATTCAGCTTTCTATCTAACACTTCCCCATCCCCACCCCCAGACATGGATGGTATTCCAGAGAATAGGAACCCGGGGGTGGGGGGGTCCCTGTGTCATGCACAAACACCTGTTAAACCTCCACTAGCCCTAGGTGAACAGGGAAGCTACCCCAGCTCAGTAATCTGAACACCTAGTGATTGCACAGAGGTGCCATATGGGCTAGTGGTATCTCTAACCAGTGTGGAATAAGTAAACAACTCCCATGGTTCTCTGAGACCTGCAC